CAGATAAAAAAAATAATGCGAATTCGAAAAGAAAATTCCAGAATCAACCTGTCAAGTAAATATAGACAGTGTTAATAATTAAGAACCTACCGAAACAATATACTTTTCGTGATATAACTATGTCCGGACTTGTTTTAATTAACTGACAATCAAGATGAGTAATTTTGAAGGCTAAGTGTCAATATAATTCTATAATTATAATCCAAAGGCTTTAATCAAAAGTACGGCCAAATCTACAAAACCCCATTATCTAGGTTAATCAAGAGGCTGCTTTCCAATGCAGTATTTTTTAAAATCGTAAACATTTCCCAGCAAATATTTCTTTTTGTATCAAAAAAGTACGCATTGTGTGCAGTGATATACAATAAAACACACATATCACGCCGCAAATATGCAAAAAAGTATTTGAGGCCGAACACAAAATTCCCGAATACCCTTGTCAGGTAAAAATAATCTGTGTTAATTAGGATAAACTACCACGACAATGCTTTTCCTTATATAATTATATCCGCGTTGTTTAATTCTGCAACATTAACATTGCAGCTCATATGAACCTAGCCTATAGGCTAATTTTTCAATAGCATCACTACAATGGAAATCCTCATTCGAAGCTATGGTTCAATCTCCAAAAGCCATTATTATTGAAAAATAAGCTGTTTTCCACCGTAGTCTTTTGAACTCTTACCATTTCCCTTGAGTTTTTCTTTCCTTCAAAAAGTGCAGCATTTTCTCCAGTAAAGTACAACGCAAGTAAAAATCATAGCACAGATAAAAAAAATAATGCGAATTCGAAAAGAAAATTCCAGAATCAACCTGTCAAGTAAATAAAGACAGTGTTAATAATTAAGATAAACTACCGAAACAATATACTTTTCGTGATATAACTATGTTCGGACTTGTTTTAATTAACTGACAATCAAAATGAGTAATTTTGAAGGCTAAGTGTCAATATAATCTATAATTATAATCCAAAGGCTTTAATCAAAAGTACCGCGCAATCTACAAAATCCCATTATCTAGGTTAATCAAGAGGCTGTTCCAATGCAGTATTTTAAAATCGTAAATTTCCCAGCAATCTTCTTTCGTATCAAAACGTAGCATGGTACCCTATACAATAAAACACCCATCACAGCGCAAATGTGCAAAAAAGTATTGAGGCCAAACACAAAATTCCAGAATACCTTTGTCAGGTAAAAATAATCTGTGTTAATTACGATAAATTACCACGACAATGCTTTTGTAATCCAGACTTGTTTTCATTAACTGACAATCAAGATGAGTAATTTTGAAGGCTAATTGTCAATATCATTCTCTAATTATAATCCAAAGGCTTTAATCAAAACCAGGTCGCAATCTACAAAACCCCATTATCCAGGTTAATCAAGAGGCTGCTTTCCAATGCAGTATTTTTTAAAATCTTAAACATTTCCCAGCAAACATTTCTTTTCCTATCAAAAAAGTACGCATTGTGTACAGTTATATACAATAAAACACCATATCACGGCGCAAATATGCAAAAAAGTATTTGAGGCCAAACACCAAATTCCCGAATACCCTTGTCAGGTAAAAATAATCTGTGTTAACTGGGATAAACTACCACGACAATGCTTTTCCTTATATAATTATATCCGCGCTTGTTTTAATTCTGCAACATTAACATGGCTAGTTCATATATGAACCTAGCCTACAGGCTAATTTTTCAATAACATTCATTACAATGGAAATTCCTCATTCGAAGCAATGGTTCAATCTCCAAAAAGCCAATTATTTATGTGAAAAAATAAGCTGTTTTCCACCCTAGTCTTTTTGAAACTCTTACACATTGCCTATTAAGTTTTTCTTTTCCTATCAAAAAAGTGCACATTTTCTCCAGTAAAGTACAATGCAACGCAAAAATCATAGCGCAGATAAAAAAAATAATGCAAATTCAAACAGAAAATTCCAGAATCAACCTGTCAAGTAAATATAGACTGTGTTAATAATTAAAATAAACTACCGAAACAATATACTTTTCGTGATATAACTATGTCCGGACTTGTTTTAATTAACTGACAATCAAAATAAATAATTTTGAAAGTTAAGTGTCAATATAATTCTATAATTATAATCCAAAGGCTTTAATCAAAGGTACGGCGCAATCTACAAAATCCCATTATCTAGGTTAATCAAGAGGCTGCTTTCCAATGCATTATTTTTTAAAATCTTAAACATTTCCCAGCAAATATTTATTTTCCTCTCAAAAAAGTACGCATTGTGTACAGTTATATACAATAAAACACACATATCACGGCGCAAATATGCAAAAAAGTATTTGAGGCCGAACACAAAATTCGAGAATACCTTTGCCAGGTAAAAATAATCTGTGTTAATTACGATAAATTACCACGACAATGCTTTTGTAATCCGGACTTGTTTTCATTAACTGACAATCAAGATGAGTAATTTTGAAGGCTAATTGTCAATATCATTCTCTAATTATAATCCAAAGGCTTTAATCAAAACCAGTTCGCAATCTACAAAACCCCATTATCCAGGTTAATCAAGAGGCTGCTTTCCAATGCAGTATTTTTTAAAATCTTAAACATTTCCCAGCAAATATTTCTTTTTCTATATACAATTTTCCTATCTACAATAAAACACACATATCACGGTGCAAATATGCAAAAAAGTTTTTGAGGCCAAACACAAAATTCCCGAATACCCTTGTCAGGTAAAAATAATCTGTGTTAACTGGGATAAACTACCATGACAATGCTTTTCCTTATATAATTATATCCGCGCTTGTAGATGTGTTCGAGGTTTGACAAAAAGTTTGTGAATCTACTATATATGGTGTTTGATAAGTGTAATGTGTATACACCTACACAGGTGTATGGAAGATTAACAGATCATAGTCGTAATTAAGGACTGAAAAATTACTACAGAGGCAAGTATATACATATATTGTTTTTTCTATATTTCTGATACTTGCCTGCATAAACTTTACATGAGTTTACTACAATTATATTTTCTGTTTTTTAGATGAAGATTAGAAACAGAGATGCCATTTGATGTACCCGAAAAAATAGTTTAACCAATTTGAAATTTAGAATGTAAAATTAAATAATGTAATTAATAATTAACATTAACAGTAGATGTTGATTTTTAACAATATGCAAGTAGTAATATTTCGTATACAAGATCTGCATGCAATAATAGTAGCTACAACAATTTTCATAAGCCTTTATGAGCTGTCCTCTCCATCATATACTAGCCATGCATAATGTGTTTCGTGGCCCATTTTTGAATCGACAACTGTGAAAGATGCTCAAGATTCTATTGGAAATCAAGAAGTACCAGTTATACATTTAGATGTTGACTATGGTAAATTCCCAACGACAAGACATGTTGATGAAAGGAGATTTAAATACTCAGGGAAATTAAATAGTTGATAGAAATATTCAGGATTAAAAAAAGTTGATAAAAATATTATCATCATCATCCTGGCTGAACAATAGAAACTTAGACATCAAACTTATGCTATCATGTGAACTAAAAGATGCAACACATGTACTCAACACCATTCCTGTCAAGTACATGCAATGGTCAATGAATGCAACACAGAGGAAAAAGGATGCAATCAGGAAGTTAGAAAGGATTGTTAAGAAAGAATAGACCATGAGGATTTATTAATATTTTCTCAACATTCGGGGTCAAGCAGTTAGAAATTCATCAAACTTATGCTATAATGTCAACTAAAAGATGCAACACATGTCCTCAACACCATTCCTGTCAAGTACATGCAATGGTCAATGAATGCAACACAGAGGAAAAAAGAAGCAATCAGGAAGTTAGAAAGGATTGTTAAGAATGAATAGACTATGAGGATTTATTAATATATTCTCAATATTGGGGGTCAAGCAGTTAGAAATTCATCAAAGGTGCCAGTGAAATAACATATGTTTTGGTATAGTTATGAGGAAAAATAACAATTATTAGGTTAATTTATAGTCTTATAGATGTCAAACTTTAGTATATTAAGTATATATCATGTTTGCCATTGTGATACAAGAATGGCTTTATTCAAAAACATCAGGCTGACAATTATTAAAGAGAGTCCTTATTTTAAAAATAATTCGGTTTAATCAGGGTTAAAGCGAAATTTAACAGGGATTGAAGCGTGCAGCACTATATAACTTTCGTTGTACAACATGTCCGTGAAGTCAAGAACAATGTAAACAAAAAGAAAGTTGTTTACAGTGTTTACAAAGCACTGTCTAACAGTGTCGGCGAATCTTCAGCGGTCATAATACATATAGCAAATTGTGTAAATGTAAGATAACTAATAGCATTTAGCCAAACTAATTTAAATGACTGTGAATTATTTATATTAGTTTTAAATAATTTTATGTACTATTAAACTATAAGTCTATAATATATTACCTTTTATTACTTTGTACTTTTTAAAGTTGTTTTTCAGAGATTTGGCTCACGTTCAAAACAAAAAGATCGAAAAGGACCTTTCATGTACGTATGAACAGTTGAGAAATACTACGCACCTAAGGGAGTATCCAAGTTGTCTGCAAATTACATGATGTATTGTTAATTACATTTTGTTTGTTACAAGCCCACTAAATTCCGCAATCACACCCACAAATATTGCGAGGTTGCAAATATTGATGATTCTAATGATACACAAACAATTCTAATCCCGCAGCAAAATGCGATTATCTCACAAACCAGATTACCTCAGAAACCAGATTGCCTAAAATGGTCAAATTAGAATTGCAATAATTTAAATCCTTTAAAGTGCAGAATACTTCATGTTGTATCCATATTGCGCCCATTCTCTCCACCAATCAAATATCAAATTATTTCGCGCGCTTTTTGATTTACATATGTTTTATAGCTTTCATATATCTAAAAAGCACGATTATAAAGCAGAAAAAAAACCTAAAAGGTTTTTAGAAAGGCATTATTTTAATGATTTTCGCCTATTACTGCTAAATTACAATATAAATACTCTATGTTTTCCGACAGAAAGCGGGATGGCTACCGACAGCGAGGAGCAGCAAGGAAGTGGTCGTGATACTGGTGCGTCAATGATAGTTGTATTTTTTTGAATTTAGTACAAAATATTTTCACCGAATTCTAGCAACATTTGCTTAATGTTAATTTTTTTCAATTTAATTTTATTTTGCCTTTTCGCTGCAGCAGAAGAGAATGAAGCTACGATATCGGAAGGTGGGTTTCCTTGACAATTTTAATATAGGAATATATAAACGGTCCGGTGAGCATAAATCATACAGCAAAAATTTATACAGGCAGTTTTTTAAATATAGGAGGAATGGATCTGGAGACAGATGACATGGATAAGAAAAATGGTACAACAGAAAAAATTATAATGCACAGCTAAACAATTGTCTTGATAAGAATTTAAATAAATCTTTCTATTTTAATTGTGTGATAAGAATTTAAATAAATCTTTCTATTTTCTAGACAAGAATGTGCCATTGTTTGAAGGTACTGAATTTTTCTTTATTTTAACATAGTCATTGCTTTTTATATACTATACTGAAGATGACTTGATTAAACTGGCAAACATGGCCAGAATCAGTGCCTGTCGTGGAGTTGAAAGGGTGCAGTTAGTATGCCGAAGTTGTGGAAAACATAACGAGCACCAGGATGTTGCCTTCACAGTTTTAAACCTGCCAAGTAGAGAAAAATGTCTTCAAACGGTGGAAAATATGCTGCTAAACTACTTCGAGCTGGAAGATAAGGAATTTAAATCTTCATTTTGGTACGGATATATAGTATAGCATTTCGTCTTTAATATAATATACATTGTGATTATGCTTTAGTATATACGATAGACTATTGAGACATGTTGATTAATTATAGTGTCTGTGAAGAAAAAGAGAAAGATATCGTAGAATTGCGACAGCCAATGAAACTACCATCGAGTCTAATTTGCAACATCCTCCCAGTAACAAAGAATGGGGAAAAACAGCATGTTCGCCTTAAGTTACAGGAATTAATTGGCGTTCACGACTTGTTGGGACGAAGACATACATACAAACTTTCAGCTTTTATAGTAAGTATAAATGTATATTCAAACGATTTGAAAAGCGGGCTTGATTTCTTTTGTACGGGCTTCGCGTTGACGTGCACAATTAAATGTTTCATATAGACACACTATGGAATTGATGCAAAAGAGGGTCATTTCAACTGTACGGTTTTACGAAATAAAAGGTGGTTTCTAATCGACGACAAACTGGTCAAGCCACAACAGTTGTGCGAAACCATCTTCAAAGGAGACGTATATATGCTGTTTTACAGCACAGAAGGTTTGCTATAAATACGTTTTGAAAAAACCTATAAGTATAGTGTAAGATCAACTATATATAAACATACGACAGACCATTCCGACAAACGTTTACCTAACTGTCACAGCCATATTGGATTTTTATTAATTATTATCCTTTAAGCGTGGTGTAAGCCTATAATCAACCCTTTACTGGTTACGCTCCTGAATGTTAGCAGTCTTCATTTTAATCCAAATTTAAAAAGATAGGAATGTGTTTTTTATTTAGAACATTTTGAGGTTCAAATTATGACTGATGAAAGTACATCGATATCAGAGCAAGGTGCATATTTTTATATTTTAAACTTTTTGTTGGCGATTTGATCCCCGTAGGCGCGTCTTGGCTTGAGCCGTTATATATATTATATCTAAATAAAATTCTAAATGGACATCTGATCTCGAACCTATCATAACTAACGATACTATACAGTACGATTACTTTAATCGGTAAAGAAACGTTACTTCTTGATATATAACGCATTGTTAAGACCGAAAAACGGTAATAAATTCTTAATCAATGGATAAAACAATAGATAATTTATCTTATTACTCAAAATATGTTTTAGACCAGATAAAGGATAAAATGGAAGTAACGACACCTCCGAGTCCGCCTGAATGTGTACAGGACAGTACACTCACAGAAAAGGTTTTGTTGAAACCATATCCTGCATGATCTTGTTCGATTTACCAACGCTCTAAACGTTTTAGTATAAACAGTATAAAATCCATTCATTCCTTGATGTAGGTTGAGAGTATTGGGACTTGCGCAAGGGACATCAGCTACATCACATTGTATCACACATCAACGGAACGCTGTTAATGTATTACGACATCAAGCTGCTTGACCAAGCGCCTTCCGACTATGAAAAAACATTGCTTGAACAATACGCAACCAAACATGGAGAAACGTATAACGAAGGATGGCTAAATGATAAGGTAATCACTGGTGTAATTGATATAGTATTCCGAGAACCCACATAGCTACAGTAACTCACATCATGAATAAACATGTATTTTTCTATTGAAATTTAGATAATAAACAATTTTCTAATCGACGTACAAAGAAAATCTCAGGTAGGGGAAAGTAAACTACTGTCTGTACTGAAACTAGAATAACAACTGCAGATAGTGTTCTTAACAGTTTATTATATGAACAAGGGTAGTTTACTAGGAACTAAAACACTAGTGGAATGCTCATACGCCACTACATCAGGGACCAGGTGCGCGTATTTTTCGTATGTCACGCTGAGGATTGAGGAATAACATTCAAAATATTTTTCGCTTAAATCAATATAATAAACAGAACATTATACGGTTCGCTTGAAGATATGGCACTCGTGTCAAAAACAATTTCTCACTCGTTCGGTGCGCTCACTCGTGAGATTGTTTTTGCTACTCGAACATAAAATCCGTGCTATATCCTCTATAATTAAATAAGACCACTTGGTATTCCTTATTTTGTGATATATATTAATCAGCTAAATATTTATCTTTACTAGGGTACCAATCGTGTAGCAGTCATGAGCAGCTTCATGTACACAAAACTATGTAAATATGGCGTCCATTCCATAACGAAATGGATTCAAAAGGTATGGATTCGTTTCTTTCAAAATAATGCTTTATACTGTATATTGCTCAACGCTGATTTCTGTGTGGGATCTTTCAGAACCCATTCTTTAAAGCAGACCTGTGCTTCATACCAATAAATTTGGACAATAATCACTGGAGTCTTGGGGTAAGTATTTTTTAAATGCGAGTATAATAGCAAAAAAACAGGGTTTTTTATAATTTTGTAATGGAAAGTAGTAAACATAAAGACTTCATTTAAAAACAAGTGCCTTTTGAACTGCGAGAACCGCATAGAACGATAGAATACAATATACATGCAGTATATGCCTCTGTTTTAAAAATTTAGAAAACAAAATTTTATTTAGTCAGGTTCCTAAAAAAATAAATTCAACTCAATAAATTTACGTTTTAGGCAATACTTTTCACTTCTGGACTGTTGTTCTAAATAATCCTTATAGGTAGTGGACTTTACTTCATGTACCATATTTCTTTATGACCCTATGGCTATGGCGATGTTAAGAGAAGAGAGAAGCTTCCACAAAAAAATTAGGTAGGCCTTCAATGGACAGATAAATTAGGTGTTAAAAAATGTTTTGACATGGATGTATTACTTAACATTCACTCAACTTATAGATTACTGATAGCACACCTTCAAGCAATATGCCCAGAAATGAGTCCACCAGATGTTAAATATTTTGATAACTCCACAAAATTTGAGCCCAGACAACTTGATGGAAGTTCATGTGGGGTTTTGTATGCATGGTAAGTGAAAAATACATTTGATATAAAATCTAATATAATAGTTATGTTTTTCCCATTGCTTCAATTACTGTAATGTCTAGCGGCATATTTTGTTGTTAGGTAGCTGAATATGGTCAATGGTTTGGATGTGAACTTTACACAGGTAATTATATCGAAGTACAATTTCTGGTAACTACATTATTTAAACCACAGAAAAACCCCTGCTGTATTTTAATATGTTTAAATTTATGATAAATCATATTGCATTTTTTACCTAAAGGAAGACATACTATGTTTAAGGAAATACATGGCAGTTCGCCTAGCAAATCCTGAAAAAAACGTCCAAATACCAATAAGGTCAGTTAAATGGATGTCACTTAAAATCTATTGTTGACATAATGGAATTTGTTGAGAAATTCTCACTAACACATACTCTAAATTTTGGGTAGCTAGTAAAAGACAATTCATTTACAAGTACCAATTGCTTTTAGGAAACAAACTGAACATTGCAATGAGGATGACCATGCCACATACACACTTAAAGCAAAGGTTAGAAATATTCTGTCTCTATCAGATGATGGCTTAGAGTCTGTCTTTAAAGAAGTATTAAAGGAAGGTGATAAAGGATTCTCAACAATTAGCTTGGTTTGTAAGCGATTTAGACAGATAGTGGGAAGAGACTCTTTTAGACGCACCACTCACTTCGCCTGGTTAAACAGTGTGTGGGAATGGAATTCATCATCAAAAGAATTCAAAGAGGAGAATTACAAAATGTATGAAATAAAAACTTGTTTTCAATGTGGCATGTCATTTAAAGAAATGTATGGCTTTATTGGAAATGGTAAATTTGGCGAGTTCAGAAAATTTTACTCAACTCTTGAATATCCAGGATTCTGCAGTAAAGAGTGCATTAAAGAAAGTTGGAAGTAATTACATCAGGACTATATATGGCATAAACCTTTAAGAAAACATCATGTTTCATAATATCTGTTGAACATAATACCAGGCTGATATTTTCACAGATAGCTGCCACTGTTAAGCCGGTTTTCCACTAGCAATATTTTTGCGAAGCGACTTTATTCCTTTGTATTTGAGCAATTTGTTCCAGATGGTTGCAGTTAAGAGCTCTGGAACAAATGTAAAATTAATGTATATGTGATGTTGCTACTCTGAGTCACCAACCGGGCAAGCTGAAAAATTAGCTTGACCACGGTGGGAATCGAACCCGCGACCTTTGGTTTGCTAGTCCAATGCTCTTCCAACTGAGCTACAAGGTCAAGACGGTTCGAGTGGTTGATATAAATGGTATTAATATGCACACCTGAGTCTTTGCATTATCACTATTAAATGTAAAATGTCGATTCGCACGAATAATATCGCTAGTGGAAAACCGGCTTTAGACACCCTTGATGGTCATTGTGTACATAATATACTGACAACTCCACAAATTTATCAGAATCTTCTTTCACCTATGTCCTTATGAAACATTTCAATTGGACTTTGCTAAAGCCCAAGGGAAATTTTCATTGTCTTTGAAAATATCAACTTAAAATTTGTTTGTAAATATATGCTAGTATTTAGTTGAACATTGTTGTCCATTTATAATATTCACATCTATATAAATCACATGTAAAATATTCACAATTATATAGTTTTAATATATATTTTTACTTACACGATCTGCGCTGTATTTTTCCTTAGTAGTCTCAGACATTTTCTATTGGCAATGCTTAAACTCCCAATCCTTCCTTAAGCCAACTTGTCATATAGATCTCACTTTTTAAATATCTTTAAAATGGTCCGACAAGTTGAATTAGAAAACGGATTTTTACAATAATGGCGGCATTGCATATCACCAGTGCATATCACTCCTCTATGTATCACTCCATATATGGCCAAGGCTCTCTCATGTAATTGGGTCTTCTCGTGCGGGTCTTCTCCAGTAATTGACACTGCCAAACCCTGCTCTTATTTTTCGGTAACTTCGCCGCCATCTTTTTGAAGCCACCAATATGGCGGATTCACCCTTCTGCGCAACCGCAGAAGCTCTGCTGACGCCACATGGTTCCTTTTGACCATGGTATTTACCACTGACCAGGCTCAATTCTGAGCCCGCTACAGCAGCATTCTCCTCCCTGGATTTTGTAAATAAATGATCATGAAATATTTTTTGTTTTTGAAATGTTTTTAGGTTGTTTTTTTGATATTTTTCGCCCTGACATACAATAAAGTTTTATTTTAAGATGAATACAAGTCATACATGCTGTTTTTGCCAGTGCGGGAACAAATATATATTAAAATATGGAAAAATGTGGACAAACTAAAGATTTTAAATACTGACACGAACTGACAGGTTTATTATTTTATTTTCGTAATAATAATTTTGTTATTTATACTTTCCAACATGAAAGTTTACAAATGTTTGAATGTTTTGGTACTATCCTCGCATATTTTGAAGACAACTAGAAATTTATGGGCAACAATTTGACTTTCTAAACCCTAAACTTAACTGATGAATTGCAGAAAGTATGTAATCAGTATTCAGTATGTGATATTGCCTTCAAGACTTTATATCTATGCACAATCCAAAATCCAAAGTTCAGGCCAAATGCTGGGCCGCTGACTAATACTAAGTGCAGGAATATAGCTTCAACCAAAAATCATATTTGTATAATATACTTTTCATTCAAGTCATCAACTTGTACCTTAATAGGCTATAAAAGTTTTCAGCATTCTCTAATTGCATCCCTGGACCCCTGGTCATAGTAAAGAGTAGCATTTATCCCTCCATAGGCTCCACTGATTAGCCTAATGAATATAGCCCTCTTGGAGGTTGATACCATAAACAGAAAGTTATAAAAGTTGCTGCAGATTGAAGACACACTGCTCAGTCAATGCACGTTTATTTTTATTTCAATCATTAATAAATATGACAAATGGTATAAAAACACCAGCCAACAACAAAATGAGATAACATGGTAATGAAGAATAACAATGCACAGTCATAAAATGCATGAACTTCATCCTGAAAAATAAAAATGGAGATATGATCAAGATTTATTCACAAGGTGCAAGAAGCTAAAAAATAAATCAAAAGCTGTGATAATTGATCAGATCATTTCACTTTGGATTTGACAAGGTAAACAAGATAATATATTAACTAGGCTTTAACAGGGCTCACTATCAGAGGTTGGAATTAATTTACACTGTTTACAGCATCTTATCATTCTGTATCAGCACCATCAGATCATGTTAATTGATGTTGGGTGGCATCAATAGAAGTGTGACTATAGTAGACTCACTGGGGAAATGGTTTACATATTAACATTGATATTTGCTATCATGAAAACAACATCTATAGACCAAACTCAAAAGATTGACAGTGCCAGGAATTTAATTTTTTCCCCACACAAGTTAAGAAAAAATGATAAAATTTAGGTATATAACATTGCATTGACAGCACTGTAATGTACCAAAAGGCAAAAATAGTATCTTTGCTGTTTGTACCACACGTTTTGATGGATTTATTGTTTCAGAGGCTTTGGTAATCAGTTTATACTATAGTCCAAACTCGAAAGGCCAAAAAATTTATAGTAAAAAAAGTTGAAAAACGGCTTACCTGGATGTTATAAAATAAGAGCAAAATGAGAAAATTCACTCTACCGATAGGTGAATTAAGCCATTCACAACGTCAGACGCAGAGCACGAAGCTACGTGTCCTTTCCATTTGTTGAACAGGGAAAAAGAGAAACACTTTTATCCTTTTTATATGAAAAACAAAAAAATATATACGGAAAGCTGAAAATATTTTCATAAAAATCGGGAGGGTGATGGACACAGTTTTTCACTGTGTATCGCGGTATGTCAGTGGTAACAACCATGAGCAAAAGGAACCATGTGGCGTCAGCAAAGCTCAAAATCCGCCATCTTAGTGGCTTCACTTTTTTGACAGGAGCCGGTCCTCCAGGAATTATTATATAGCTCAGTGATTTTTACCCCAGGAATCGATTTCCGGGCTTATTTTACCCCTAGGGGGTAGGCAACGTTGAGTTTTTGACACCTCTAAGCTCAGGCAACAACCGCATGTGCGTGCGCTGAGCAACGTGTCTCGCTAAAACAATAACAAATCAGAAAAATCAATATTTTTCGAGTTTTTCTGCCCATCCTGACTCAAAAACTATCAGAAAAGATAACTAAAGCATTTCTAGTTTATATATAACGGTTAAAATACGAAAGGATGAAAAATAACGAAGAAAATAACAAAATTCCAAAGGCGAGTTATATTTCCGGTTGTCATCACCTTGTAATTTGACATGATTTTGACAGCTGCACTGCGGTGTCAGGTTAACAGAAATATTTATTAATTTCCGGATTAAAACAGAAGCGATTGGGTTATAGTATTTTTCTCAAGCTATATTTTGGTGGTATTTATGTGTTTTTTGCTCGCGCATTCGCAGAGCTATTGGAATTTAAAAAAATTCGGACTCTAACGTCCGAAATTAATCTACACCGGACGGGAATGAGTTGCTTGATAATAGACAGATTTAGAAAAGACGACGCAGTGTCTAAAGGTACGTTTCCCCTCAGGAAAATTTTCCTCGGACAGGAATTTTTTCCGGACGGCGCATGTGTAGTTTCGTCAAAACAGTTTCGCGGGGTTCCGCTCAACTTTTCTCACGGAAAAACGGAAAGAAAATCACAAGTAGAAAATTTTCAACTTTTTTTATTTCTCCGTGGAAAATTTTAGAATTTAACCAATCATATTACGCGAATATCTGCATGTGTCGTGAGACATTGGACTTGAAAAGTCAAAATGGCGATGCCAGCAAAGAGTGATGACCCTAGGGAACAGATAACCTGCTTATTTTGCAGCGCCAAGTACCTAACGCAGAACCTGTAGCTCAAGGATTCGTGCCTGACCCTACCGGAGTACATTTGTCTTTGCTGCAAACTACTGGTGCAGTTAAAAACACACTTCAGCATAGTCAAACCGTAGCGACTGCTAGAAGTGCAACTCAAGTTCGTCCTTCGTCTCCAGCTGTATTTGGCAATCTGTACAATCGAGTTGAACCTATAAATGTGGAGATATACGATCATGACGCTACTCTTTTCACCAAATCTGCTGACGGTGGACAACACCAAGAAGATGTACGATTGTCTCCACTTGATATAAAGAGCAAAACACTTCATGCAAAGTTGATTGACTTAATTCAAGGGTATTCTGTTCTATGGAGAACTACCAGCAACAGTTTAAGGATAAGGATAGAAAACAAAGATCATGGGAGGAGATCAGTGTTAAATTGGGAGTTGAAGGTAAGAGTCCCCTTGTTTTTAATATATTAAAGTCACAGCTACCAGCCAGCAGGTTTATCTACCACTGTCAGAGAAGCCATAATGCCATATGGCACCACATAGATACCCCCCTAGTTTTACTTAATATAGGCACCCCCAAATGAAGGGTCCTATACCCTCTTAGGAAAAATAGTAATTTGAACCCCATTGGATGGATGTTTGGAAGGTTGCCCCATAGGATATTGTTCCCCCCCTCCCCTTCTAAGACATCACATTTTTCCCAAGCTTGCTATTGTAATTATTGTAATACATGGCAAACAGGATACACCGTAATAGTTGAAATTTTCATGGCAACTAGTTGGAATACTGAATTTGTCATGTGTATGTATTTGCTAGTATTGTGTGGATACTGCAAAGTTTAAGACTTGTATGTATGTGAGATATCAGATTAAATTTAAATTGAAAAACATTCTTTTTTAGTGGAGTACATAAAGCGTGAATGGGAAAAGTTAAAAGACAATTATCGCAAGTGTTTACAACGCAGAGAGAAAATGACAAGATCTGGAGCAGGAAATAAAAAATTACCAACTTGTAACTTTTTCACTGAACTGTCATTTCTAAAAGATATTGTATCAAACAGAAAGACTATGAGTAATGTTGAGATTGTTAATGATGAATCACAACCATTAACACCAAGCAAAAAAGATGTTGTTGAACAAAATAATGAAGAGTTATCATTGGTAGGAACTACAGCAGGGAACCAAGGAACTCGTAAACCAAGGAACAAGTGATCCAGTTCTTATAGTAGTGATGTGCAACTTGGAATTGATGCATTAATTGTAAAAGCATTAACTAGTGATGAAAAAAAAGATCAGCCACCCACAAAGAAGGCTTCAGAAGAAGATCCAGACACATTATTTTGTCTCAGTCTAGTTGATTCTTTGAAGGGTCTAAGTAAGAGAAAAAAGATGTATGTAAAAATGAAGATAGGGGAGCTTTTTTATAACTCAATGGAAGACCCTGATGATATTTAATGAACTGTGGTCGACCATCTTGGAAAGGAAATCCACCAAAACTTTGCATGTTTACTTCAGTTTTGGAATCGTTAGTTTAGAAGTTTTCTCATTGTTAACTTACTTGAAGTTCTTATTTATTTCTGTTCATAATTATGAATGTAAAAGTTAAAACAAAAACAAAACATATGCACTGGCAATGAATTGTTATGGTAGTTACCTTTGTATAATTTTAATATTTTGTATAACATTAATTTTAAAGCATTAATATATGTTGTACTCATTGATATTTACTTGTGTATGTTTCTAACTATGGTATTAAAGATAATTATTGAAATGTAAGACTGAAGCAGTAATATTATATAATTAAGACACATGATTTCTTACTGCAATTTGTCCAGAAAATTTAGATTTGCAAATGTTTAACATCTGAGGTGGGATAAGAGATGGCAGAGGGAGAAGGGATGAAAACACAATCTTGTGAATTACACATCATGCAGACTGGATTAGATGCACAATATTCAATAATGCAAAAAAATTACATTCACATGCAATCCATCTATTATGCTGGCCAATTTGTCATGTTACCCTAGTTTCTCATAAAATTTTGAATTTCAAGATTGGTCCTAAAGAGCAAGTAGTTTAAGGCCAATCTTGAATTCATTGCAGTATGAGGAACTGTTGCAGAGGGTAGTTTTTGGCTCTAATTTGTTCAACAAGTATCAGTATTAATAATTATGCCAGGTGAACATTAATGCATTACTAATATATGTTGTAAGCTTAAATGGAAATGAAAAATTGATTTATTAAAATGATGATTAGTTTATACTGTATATGAGATTAGAAAATATGAACTGCACAATTTATTTTAACATTAACTGTTATATTTTTAACAAAAAAGAACTTTTTTACAATTAATTTAGTCATCTATCATGATGAAAATTAGTCACTGTCACTTGAGTCTGCTGTTCTGTTAACCATGTCCCATTGCCAGTATACAGATCCTGCATCAGAATTAAAGTATGTGCAAAAGTCTTCCCTGACTTCGTTAGCTGATCTGGTAAAATTATTTGAACCTTGATGGCCAATTGCAACCATTCCTGTAGAGTTCTGGAACTCCTCTCGCCATTCCCCAGTTCTTGTTCCAGATGGTGTGTCAACATCGGCATAACCAGGGGGGCAGTAATTTGATTCATGTTTCATTAAATAATTGTGCAGTGAAACAACTGCCTTCGTTATTGCTACAACTGTATTTACTTTGCGAATAATTGGCTTACGAAATATTCGGAACCTTGAAGCACAAATACCAAAACAGTTCTCAATAACACGTCTTGCACGGGAAATCCTGTAGTTGCAGATTCTTCTTCGTTCATCAAGAGTGTTTTTAGCATATGGTTTTATCATGAACAGCTTTAATGCAAATTTACTCACAAAATCACCAAAAATGACAAAGTGCAGATAGATGTCGACAGGATATTTATCTGCAACCATGTGCAAATGTAGTATTCACTGCGCGGATGTTAACGTTTTTTCTTGACCAAAACACGGAGCGATAAATTTGCTTCCGCATGCACGCGAGGACGTGCTCGACATAACATAGTATAACATAACATAACATAACATAGTATGCTCGGCAATTTACAGACATCCTAATGGAAATTTTGAAAATTTTCTAATTATTTAACAGCATCTATGGATAAAATTTCAAATGAAAAGAAATATTGTATCCTTATGGGTGACTTTAATATTAACTTGTTAAATGATGAATCACACACCCCAACTGAAAATTTATTAATAATTTGGGGGTGTTCTGTTTCCAACCACATATTTTACAACATACTAGAATAACAGATCAGACAGCTACCTTGATTGACAACATCTATTTTAACTCTATTGAGCACTACTGTATTAGTGGAAATTTGATGTGTGATATCAGATCATCTCCCTAATTTTCTGTTTATTAATAAGCTTTCTTGTTCTTCTTCTAATCAGACTATATACCGCCGTGATTGTTATAAATTTAATGAACAAAAACTTATTGAGGAAGTTCAGTCAGTCAAATGGGAGGATATCTTGCCTGTTACTGAAGATGTGAACCAAATTTTTCAATTCTTTCATATTAAACTTTCAGAAATTATTGATAAGCATGTCCCTTTGAGAAAATTATACAAAAAACGCATGCGCTCTTTAGCCAAACCTTGGATTACAAATGGACTTAGGATCTCAATTGCAAATAAGAACAAATTTTACAAAAAATATTTAAAGTCTAAAAATTCTTATTACTTTTCAAAGTTTAAAATATATAGAAATAAACAAAATCAGCTTTTGATTATGAGCAAAAAAAATATTACAATAATTATTTTGCAAACAATAAATATAATGTTAAGAACACTTGGAAAGGCATTAAACAATTGATTACTACTACACAGTCAAGACATTCAATTCCCTCTGAAATAGATTTAGAAGGCTGTCAAAGGAACAGGAGAAAGGTAATGTCATGTAGTCATTTGAAGGTCATTGGACTCACTGTTGGTCAAACACTCTTAGTATTTAGTATATTGATTAAAGAATCAGTATCACTGTGAGTGTGATTGTATTGTATCAGTCAATCAACTTGCAAAATGCAAATACTTGCCATTATTGAGTATTAAATTCATAGTCTTCATAGTCCATAGATGGTAACAGTCAATTCACATTGAATTACAGGCACCAGGGGCCAGGCCATGGCCCCAGGCTACATTACATATGTTGACTTGATTCTGTATTAAACTGTATTACTGTATTTCAGTGTCATTATGCATTGTGTGTAAACATATGATGGTGGGCACAACAGCCAGATTTGTAAAAAACCATGTCACATGTTTTGTGGTACACCAGTCGGCGAGGAAGGATTTGGAAATCCAGTTAATTGCTTTCACTGCCAAGGTAAAGCTGCAGGTATGTATGACTGCTGTTAAATCACTACCAAATTTTCATTATTTGTGTTCTTTCAGAATTTCATTAGGTTAATTTATTGTTAAAACAGAAACTACCACATATTTCATTAATTTGTCAATAATGTAGGTCAGCCTTGCGTTTATCAGACCACACAGGATGGGCCCCCTCTACACACTGACACGCACATGCACAATAATTAGTTATTGCCAATTTGTTTATTTCTTATTAAAACACGCATACAGGACATAGTTTATGATATCGGCAATATATATGGTACCCTAGTATATTAGTTAATTATTTAGGTGTGCATAAACTTTTAATAGATCTGAAACCAGTTGACGATAAATCTAAAGCAGAAAATGAGAATAAATAAAATAGTTTTTTCTCCATCATGATGCAAAATAAAAATAAAATAGTGCCCACATCTCAAAATCCAGTGAAACGAAAAAAGTCTGGTCACCAAAAAACTAAGAAGGCTGTTTGTTTGATATGCTATAGCACATGCAAAGCACAACCACAGCAGAAGAAAAAGTTTTGTTTTAGCTGGTACAATGAGTCATTGATGAAAGACCACATGAAAATGCATTGTGACATACACATTGGTGACTACATGAAGCATTTTGTCATGGAAGACAATGCTAAAGCAATCAAAGTCATGAAAACAAACAATAAATTGTCATCAAAACCAATCCTAGAGGAGCCCGATGTCCCTAGAACACCAGATGATCCAGTTGTCAAATGTAGTGCCTCTGGCCAAAATTACACAGATCAACTCCTTGGTTCAGATCAAGTCCTTGAAGATGAACTGAGCAAAAAGCAAAAAAAGATAGCTTCATCAGTACTTGCTCAGACATCCATCAGTAATTTTGTTGTTTCTGACCCTAATGCTGTTGAAGACTTGTGTGTAAATCTTTTCAGTAAAGAAAGTCTGGATTATATAGCTGACAGAATCTCTACAAGCATATCAAGAAATTTTGAGCATTCAAGTCAGCCAAGTGGTACCACAAAATTCCCACCAGAAATGCATGACAACACGAACAGGAAATTTCACTCTCATGCAACAACCTTATCTCATTTTTGGAATCAGAATCTCATGGCTACAAAGTTATTTCAGAGGGTGATGTCCACGTTATAACATTTACAACATTTGTACAGAGATTGTCTTAATGTTGTAAAAAATAACGCGGATGAAATCGTGTCATTTGAGTATTCGGACTGGTGTGTGCAACTTCAGTCAAAACAGAAACTTCGTGTTTTTCTTGTGTATCTCCCCCCATATTCTGAAAAGCATAAGGTTTCTACGCAGGTTTTCTTTAGTGAATTTTCAGACTTTCTCAAGTCAATTGTTATGACGGATGAAAAGCTTCTAATCGTTGGCGATTTCAATATTCACATTAATGCTATGGATGATTCTGACGCGATTATTTTTCAAGACTTACTGGAGTCGTTCAGTCTCAAACAGCATGTGTCATGTCCAACCCACTTCCATGGACATACCCTTGATCTGTTTATAACCCGCCAAACAAACAGAATTATAAGAACTCCACCTTATACTGACCGTTACCTCTCTGACCATGCTTCAATTTTGTGTGATATTCAATTTGATAAGCCATCACTAACTGTTAAAAGTGTAACTTATAGAAAATGGAAATCAGTGGATGTTTCTTCTCTGAACCATGATATCGCTATGTCAGATCTATGCACGAACCCTCCAAACAAGCTAGATGAATTGGTTGCCTTTTATAATAACACATTGAAGGCACTTTTTGATAAACATGCACCACCTAAAAGAAGAACGATAATAGTTAGACCACAGGTGCCTTGGTTTAATGAACAGCTTAGGAAAGCAAAGCGTGAGAGACGAAATGCAGAGAGGAAATGGAGAGTGTCTAAGTCAGATGTAGACTTTGTTAACTTCAAAGGCAAACAAAACTTAGTTAACAGACTTATGCGTAGGGCCCGTACAAAATATTATACGAGTTTCATCGAGGAGAATAGTGGTGATCAGAGAAGAGTCTTCCTCCTAATTTAAACTGTGAAGCTTTTGTTAGTGACATCGGAAAGTATTTTGTACAAAAGATTGGAAACATACGGAAAGAACTAGATAATAACGAGATGCATGGCTCATCTAGAGATTTGCAGAACGTGCCTGTTGCGCGCACACACCCCCCCATGTTGAAGAGTCTGTGCCAATGTTTTAAGAGTTTAGTGCCCTTTCTGAAGTTGATGTGAAAACTTTAATTGGTCGTGCTGTATTGAAAACCTGTGATTTAGATCCAATGCCATCTAAATTTGTTTCTCAGTGTGATGCATTGCTTCTCATCATAACAC